GGATAGGGTTGTTTATAGTATTTCTTTATTATCCTTTTAATATCCATAGGATTTGTAGTGATATGCCCTCTTTCATTTCTGGTATTAGTAATTTGTGTTCTTTTTCTTATTAACTTGGTTAGAGTCTTATTGATTTTACTGATCTTTTCAAAGAACCAACTTTTGGTTTTGTTGATTTTCTCAATTGATTTTTTTTGTTTCTATTTCATTGGCTTCTGCTCTAATATTCATTATTTCTTTTCTTCTGCTTACTTTGGATATAACTGCTCTTCCTTTTATGGTTTACTAAGGTGGAAGTTGAAGTTATTAATTTTAGTTCTCTCTTCTTTTCGAACATATGCATTCAAAGCTATACATATCCCACTAAGCACTGCTTTTACTTATCCCATGAATTTTGATACATTGTTTTCATTTTATTTAAAAATGTTTGTAAATTTCTCCTGAGATTTCACCTCTGATTCACATGTTATTAAGAAGTGCATTGTTCAAATTGCATGTTTTGGGAGTCACTTGAGATTTTTGAGCAGAGGGGTAACATAATTGATTTATGCTTTAAAATGATCACTGGAGCTTCTGTGGTAAGAATCAGCTATTTGGGGGAAGGGTAGCATTGGGGGGCTTTTGGAATAAGCCAGGTGAGAGATGATAACTTGTTCTAGGGCAGGAGCAGTGGAGGCTGAGTAGTGACAGCATGTTACATATATTTGGAAGGTAGACCCAGGAGAACTTCTGGATGGACTGGATGCATGATGTGAGAGAAAGTGTAACTGTTACTAAGGGTTTTGGCTTCAGCAAGGACAGATTTGTCATCAACTGAGAAAAGAAAAGCTTCAGGTAGCACTGCATTGAGGAAGATCAGGAGCAGAGTTAAATTTGAGACATTTAGTAGACATCTTCTTAGAAGCAAAGTCGAGTAGGCAGATATTAGAATCTGGAGTTGAAGGGAGACTTTCAGGCTTGAGATACAAATTTTGGAGTCAAAGAATATAGATGCCACTTAAAATCAAGACTAGATGTGATCACTAAGTGAATGTAGAGAAAAAAAATTCCAAAGACTGAGAACTAGCCCTCAGTGTTATGAATTCATAGAAAAAAGGACGAATTGGAAAAGGAAACTCAGAAGGAATGGCCACTTACATGGGAGGGAGACCAGGTGTATTAACCTGTGTTTTCTTTTCTTATTTTGAGGCTTTGATATCTCGTGGCCTTGCTGACCCTTGAGTAATGGCCCTTCCCAAGGTTAGTTAACTCCTAGAGATAGTAAACAACTCACCTGGGATTGTGCCTTTCAAAAGCAAACCAAGGAATCCAGAGTCTACACCCACATCACCTCCTTTATTAGGCTGTTAAACTCTGAACACCATTCCCTTGCCTTAATCACTCCAGAGCAAGGCTCCAGAAACAAGGGACAGTCCCTGTGTTCCAGAACCCACTGAAGTTATCCAAAGTAACCAACGCTAAGCTTGCTTGTCCTGCCTTGCCCATTCTTTCTTGTGGTGGAATCCATAATAACAACTCTTGCCCACATTTCCCCCTCAGTCCCTCTGCTTCCTGACTGAAACTGGTGCTCCTCTACATAGCCCAATATGGTGTACCATCTACTTTTTCTAGGGAACCCTGAGTATAATAAACTTCTTCCTTCAAGACAATAATTTATGTATCTGTGCATCTTATCATACTTAATTAAAACAGTCCCAGTTGCCCTCAAAATGATGAGGAAAGTGTGGTGACTTTGAAGCCAAATGAAAAAGTTGCTCCCAGATAACATAATGATCAACTGTGCTATCATCTGCTTATAGGTCAAGTAGGATGAACACTGGGAATTAACTGTAAGATTCCATAATTTGACAGAATAGCAATATTGGAAGGCATGTAAGCAGAGAAAATAGAAGTGGAGAAAGGTAAGCATTAGAGCACAGATTTTAAAAGGTTGAAATTTGTCCCAAAGAGAAAACCTAGCTATAAAAGGACAGCACAGGAAAGATATTAAAATGTCAAGATGACAGAAATATTCCCAGAACGAATAATGAGGTTTTGTGTGTATATGAATGATTTAGTCACAGGTACTGAGCCTCCCATTTGTGATAAGGTCCATGGATGCATTGGCTTTGGAGGCCTCACAACTTTCAAAAAAATGTCAAGTGGTTTAGGATACATCTGAGTTTTACACTGGCAGTAGAATGTCTTATTTTTTTTCCTGTATTACCTCCTTAGTACAGACTAAAAGAGCTGGGGCAGTTTAATGAAGGGACAAGAAAAATTAATCAGGAAAGGATTCAGGAAAGTAGGTTTGAGTTGGGCTTAAAGGAAGGCCAGGATATTGAAAGGTAGAGGAGAGAGGGGTTATCTAGGGTAGAGAAACAACTGTGGACACAGCAATTAGTATTATCAGTAACACACCTGGGCTGTGGAGTGATGAGAAACAATACAGGAGAGGTCAGTGGCGGCTGATCCTGGAAGGCTGTGAAAGTCAGGTAGTGGTAGATGGACTTGGTATCCTTGGCCAGGTTGGTAAAGGAACAATTGTTTGCTGTAACTGCCTATAGCAGACATCAGCACTTGATGACAGCCACTTTTTTTTCCCTGCTGAGCATGAATATAGCCTTAGAATTCTCCAAATAGATCTTCTGGTTCATTACGAACTAATTAGAACTGGCAATCAAGATGAAACTTACTGCAACACGTGGTAGGCAAAAGGGAGAAAATGCAGGCTTTCTCATTTAGAATGGACCTAGTAAAAGCAATGTTTAAGAAATAATGGCATTTAGGAAAGCTCAGCTTGGAGGCTGTTGCAATCTAGGCATCTCAGAAATGCTGAGGGTCAGTAGGAATTGAGAAGATGAACTTGGGGAAAGTATGTTTAATAATTTGATGATTGTATTAAAGTTTTTTTCTCCTGCACTGTTAAGAAATTCCAGTTAGGTTATTGTGGCAGCCTCCTTTGTGAGAAAAAGAGATTCACTCCGGTTTTGTCAGTCAGGTGGCTTACTGTAAGAATACTGTACTTTTTCTATTGCTGTGTAACCAATTACCACCAACACGGTGGCTTAAACAACAGTTATTTTCTCATAATGTTTGTGGGTCAGGAGTTGAACTGGGTCCTCTGCAGGGCTGCAGTCCATGTGTAGGGCATGGGTCTAATTTCAAGGCTTGACTTGGTGGGGGAGCTGCTTTCAGGCCCATGAAGTTGTTGGTAGTATTCAGTTACTTTCAGGCCATCAGACTGAGGGCCTCAGTTTACTGTGACTGTCAGCCAGAGGCCACCCTCAGTTCCTTGTCATATGGTCCTCTCCAACATGGCAGTTTGCTTCTTCATATCCAGCAAAGGAAAAAGCTTCCTTGCAAGATGGGCATTACAATACTATGTATCACAACTGCACAAGTGGCACCCTTCACTTGACCATATTCTAATGGTTAAAGGTAAGTCACAGTACAGCCAAAATGGAGAATATACAAGTTCCTCAAAAAGTTTAAAAAAGAACTACTGTATTATCCAGGATCCCACTTCTGGGTGCATATCCAAAGGAAATAAAATCACCATCTTCAAGAGATATCTGCATTTCCACGTGCACTGCATGCAGTATTATTCTCAGTAGCTAATGTTTATTGCCAAATGAATAAAGAAAATGTGGTGTGTATACATACAATGGAATATTTTGAGTCTTTAAAAAAGAATGAGAAAGAGTGCTGAAAGCAGGAATCCAGTTTTAATAACAATTTCTGAAGTGATATCCCAGGACCTCTTTCTCATTTTATTCATTGGAATCTAGTCCATAAATTCAGCCCATACAAAAGGCAAGGGGATTATAAAAAACAAGGGAACGAACACCAGGAGATCACTAGCAACCATTTTAGGGGCTGCCTACCACAGAGAATGAAACAAATGTAAAAATGCTATGTGGTGTCACTTCATATTAGGGGGCATAGCTGGGACCCACTGGGAAAAGCAGCTGACACTCCTTTTCAGAAATTAAGTGTAGGGTCTTTCTATTCCCAAGACCTCAGACACGTGAAAGGGATGGTGTAAAGAAATGTGCAAGAGGGGAAGAACTAAGAATTTCCATCTCAGCAGCAATAACTCCTCTCTTTCCTTAACAATTACTACTAAAAGTAAAAGCTTCAGACTCCTGAGTACCACTGGCAGCATCAGCATTTACTATCAGGACCAGCATTGTCAGGAACACCGGGAGTGAAAGGGCATTGATTTAGAATCCCAGCTCTATTGTAACTATTGGTAGATGTGCGCTCTTGGAAGTTCTTTGAGGCTTAGTTTCATTTCTTATAAAATGGGGATGATAGTAACTCTATTTGTGAAGCAGCCATGACAGTTACACAGTACTCGCTGGCATTTCTACTGTGTTGCTAAAGTCAAAACCAAGGATGTAAAACCTTTGCTTTTTGGGAAATAGAATGCTTCCTATTGACTTAGATATTTTATTCTTTTTCTTAGAAACTTTTCAGATCTAGACATATATTTTAATCATGCTTCACTGTCATGCCTACCTCAAAAGCAAAATATGAATGAGTTGGTTCAATTCTAAGGGTTCTTTAAATTTTTTGTCCAACTCTTCAGAATCGTTTTTCAACACGTAATTATCAAAGCCCAGATTTTTGCTTTAAATACATCAAAATATGATCACTTTAATACTAATCTATATAAAACACCCTTGATGAGATGCAGTGTATGTATAATACCCACGGAGGTAGTAAAGGTCCGAGGAGCCGCGGCCCCCAGCGCACGACGGTGAACAACCCTTGAAAAAACACGCGCTCGCCTGCTGCTCCGCATGCTGGGATGGACCAAGCGCGTCTCGCAACACCGCCGGGCCTTTCCTTGAACGCTTTATTATGCCCTAGCTGCGGAGCACCTAGAGCCAGAGGCCAGAGCGCCCGCGCGGCACCTCCCGCCGTAACGCGGCCCAGAGGGCCGCGGGTCAAGACCATGCGGGCATGGAAGCCGCGGAGTGGGGCGGGGCACGCTCCCGGAAGTGGCGCGTGACGTCGCCGTGCGTGCAGGCGGCTGCGTCGGGCTGCAGGAGAAGATGGCGGTGTCCACAGGTCGGTTCCCGGGCTGGGCTGCCAGCTTTGCCACTTCAGCCCGGCTCTGCCCTTCCGCTCGCTGCTGGTGGCAGGGCGCTGACCATGCGGGAGAAGCCGGAGTGCGCCCTCTCGGACTCCGGGCTCCTCGTGCAACGAGCCCGGGAGCCGGAGCTGCGGTCTGGCCCGGGACCGGCGCCCAGGGCCCGGGTCGGCCGTCGGGGGTGGTGGCTCGTGCTCGCGCGTTGGTTGCACGCCCGCGGGCTGGGGGCCGGGTGGTTCGCGCGGCACACACGCAGGGCTCAGCGGTGCCGGTCCCACTGTGGGGCGGAGGACGCGGTGTGAGGGCGAGGAGGTCCACGGTGGGCGAGTGCCCACCTCTCCCACGCAGGTGTTGGGGGTGAGGGGTGTCCTGGGCCGAGGGGGGGGTCCGGTCCTCCGGGACTCGCCTTGTTAAGGGGAAGGAGGAGAGGACCAGTGTGAAGAGCATCGTTGCTCTTTGTAATAACGGAGGGATAACCATTTACTTAATTGAATACGTGTTGCCTGCCTTCGTTTTAGTTAATCTTCGTTAACTACAGTGCAAACAAAGTAAAAGCACAGAGTCAGGTGAACGCTAATTGAAGAAAAAGTGATTTCTTAGTTAACGTTTTCAACTCTTCCGTCGTACTGAATACAGTGTTTGGTTTACTGTGAGCACAGACCTTGAAATTTAGTATTAACGGTGAGATTTTAGAAATCACACCATTTAAAAATGTTAAATTTTACTATATAAAAGTGTTAATGCTTTTGCTCTTTCATTTTCCAAAAACCATTGAAGCCAGATTATAGAATAGTGCGATTTAATATTACATACCATCATTGCTTAATGAAACCGATTTTCAAATCTCTGTGCTGAAATGGAAGGAATCAGTATATGCTGTGATTCGTACTTTTAAGGTAATAATAATACTTCAGGTTACATTCTACATACATACTATTGAAAAATTAACGTCTTTTGAATCCCAGATACATGAAATCTGTATTTTCAGTACAGGTTTTGTAGGTTATAAAACGATTTTAGTGTTGGGGAAAGATTTCAGTGTGTTTGAGGACAGAGCTAACTAGTAAAGCAAGGACTATTTAAAAAGTGACACCTAAGTGTTGCAACTTTAATTGCTGTAGTTACTATTTGAAATCGAGTGTGCTTGTGAATGGGGCTATGTCTTTTTTAAAGAGCTGTGTTTAGTACTGATAGTCTTGAAAATTTTATAATAAAATGGCATTTTAATTTGATTGATAGTTTTCATTTTGTGGATTGCATTGTTTATTTAAACGCGGTATTTTCCCTAACATTATACATAAGAGAAACTGTGGAAATATTTTTGGAAAGACCAAAATGTTAGATGTTACTAATTGCAGGTACTTTAAAAAAAAATTTTAGTATCATTAATCTACAGTTACATGAGGAACATTATGTTTACTAGACTACCCCCATCATGAAGTCCCCCATAAACCCCATTATAGGCACTGTCCATCAGCATAGTATGATGGTGTAGAATCACTACTTGTCTTCTCTGTGTTGCACAGCCCTCCCCATGGCACCCCCCACATTATACATGCTTATTGTTATGCCTCCTTTCTCCCACCCCCCCTTATCCCTCTCTTCCCACCCATCCTCCCCAGTCCCTTTCCCTTTGGTAACTGTTAGTCCATTCTTGGGTTCTGTGAGTCTGCTGCTGTTTTGTTCCTTCAGTTTTTTCTTTGTTCTTATACTGCACATATGAGTGAAATCATTTGACACTTGTCTTTTTCCGCCTGGCTTATTTCACTGAACATGATACCCTCTAGCTCTGTCCATGCTGTTGCAAATGCTAGGATGTGTTTTCTTCTTATGGCTGAATAATATTCCATTGTGTATTTGTACCACATCTTTATCCATTCATCTACTACTGATGGACACTTAGGTTGCTTCCATTTCTTGGCTATTGTAAATAGTGCTGTGATAAACATAGGGGTGCATCTGTCTTTTTCAAACTGGGCTACTTAATTGCAGGTACTTTTTAAAAACATGTTTAGTTATTTTTTGAGGACAAATATAAATTATTAAAGGAGTTGCTAATTATTAGCTTACTCACTGTACATTGGAAGCCTGTATTCTAGTTTTTATTTATTTTCTTAGGTATTATTGATATACACTCTTATGAAGGTTTCGCATGAAAAAAACAATGTGGTTAATACATTCACCCATGTTATCATGTCCCCCTCATACCCCATTGCACTCACTGCCCATCAGTATAGTAAGATGCCACAGAGTCACTATTTGCCTTCTTTGTGCTACACTGCCTTCCTCCTGATGCCCCCACACCATCCATGTGTGCCAATCATAATACCCCGGAATCCCCTTCTCCCACTCTCCCCCACCCCTCCTCTTTGGTAACCGCTAGTCCCTTCTTGGAGTCTGTGAGTCGTTGCTGTTTTGTTCCTTCCACAAATGAGGGAAATCATTTGGTACTTGTCTTTCTCTGCCTGGCTTATTTCACTGAGCATAATATCCTCCAGCTCCATCTATGTTGTTGCAAATTGTGGAATTTGTTTCTTTCTTATGACTGAGCAGTATTCCATTGTGTATATGTACCACATCTTTATCCTTTCATCCACTGATGGACACTTAGGTTGCTTTCATATCTTAACTATTGTAAGTAGTGCTGCAATAAGCATAGGGGTGCATATGTCTTTTTGAATCTGAGAAATTATATTCTTTGGGTAAATTCCTAGGAGTGGAATTCCCAAGTCAAGTGATATTTCTATTTGTAGATTTTTGAGGAACCTCCATATTACTTTCCACAATGGTTGAATTAGCTTACATTCCCACCAGCAGTGTAGGAGGGTTCCCCTTTCTGCACATCCTCACCAGCATTTGTTGTTCTTAGTGTTTTCGATACCAGCCAGCCTAACTGGTGTGAGGTGATATCTCATCGTGGTTTTTATTTGAATTTCCCTAATAATTAGTGATGTGGAGCATCTTTTCACGTGTCTGTTGGCCATCTGAATTTCTTCTTTGGAGAACTGTCTCTTCATATCCTCTGCCCATTTGTTAATCTGTTTATTTGCTTTCTGGGTGTTGAGGCATTTGAGTTCTTTATATATTTTAGATGTTAACCCCTTGTCGGATATGTCATTTACAAATATATTCTCCCATACTGTAGGATGCCTTTTTGTTTTGTTGATGGTGTCCTTTGCTGTACAGAAGCTTTTAAGTTTGATGTAGTCCTATGTGTTCATTTTTGCTTTTGTTTCCCTTGCTTGAGGAGATGCATTCAGAAAAAAGTTGTTCATGTTTATATTCAGGAGATTTTTGCCTATGTTATCTTCTAAAAGTTTTATGGTTTCATGATTTACATTCAGGTCTTTGATCCATTTTGAGTTTACTTTTGTGTATGGGGTTGAATAATAATCCAGTTTCACTGTCTTGTGTGTTGCAGTCCAGTTTTGCCATAACCAGTTGAAGAAGCTGTCATTTCCCCATTGTATGTCCATGGCTCCTTTATCATGTATTAATTGACCATATATACTTGGGTTTGTATCTGGGCTCTCTAGTCTTCTCCATTGGTCTATGGGTCTGTTCTTGTACCAGTACCAAATTGTCTTGATTACTGTGGCTTTGTAGTAGAGCTTGAAGTCGGGGAGCATAATCCCCCCAGCTCTATTCTTCCTTCTCAGCATTGCTTTGGCTATTCGGGATCTTTTGTGGTTCCATATGAATTTTAGAACAATTTTCTCTATTTCATTGAAGAATGCTGTTGGTATTTTGATAGGATTGCATTGACTCTGTAGATTGCTTTAGGCAGGATGTCTATTTTGACAATATTAATTCTTCCTAGCCAAGAGCACGGGATGTGTTTCCATTTATTGATATCTTCTTTAATTTCTCTCATGAGTGTCTTGTAGTTTTCAAAGTATAGGTCTTTCACTCCTTCATTAGGTTTATAACTAGGTATTTTATTCTTTTTGATACAATTGTGAATGGAATTGTTTTCCTGATTTCTCTTTCTGTTTGTTCAGCATTAGAATATAGAAGTGCAACAGATTTCTGTGTATTAATTTTGTATCCTGCAACATTGCTGAATTCAGATATTAGATCTAGTAGTTTTGGAGTGGATTCTTAAGGGTTTTTTAATGTACAATATCATGTCATCTGCAAAGAGTGACAGTTTAACTTCTTCTTTACTAATCTGGGTGCCTTTTATTTCTTTGTGTTGTCTGATTGCTGTGGCTAGGACCTCCAGAACTATGTTGAATAAAAGTGGAGAGAATGGGCATCCCTGTCTTGTTCCCAATCTTAAAGCAAAAGCTTTCAGCTTCTCGCTGTTAAGTATGATGTTGGCTATGGGTTTGTCTTAAATGGCCTTCGTTATGTTGAAGTACTTGGCCTCTATACCCATATTTTTAAGAGTTTTTCTCATGAATGGATGTTGAATTTTGTCAAATCGTTTTTCAGCTTCTATGGAGATGATCGTATGGTGTTTGTCCTTTTTGTTGGTGTGGTGGATGATGATGATGGATTTTCTAATATTTTACCATCCTTCCATCCTGGGAATAAATCCTACTTGATCATGATGGATGATCTTTTTGATGTTTTTTTGAATTTGGTTTGCTTATATTTTGTTGAATATTTTTGCATCTATGTTCATCAGAGATATTGGTCTGTAATTTTCTTTTTTTGTGGTGTCTTTGCCTGGTTTTGGTATTAGAGTGATGCTGGCCTCATAGAATTGGTTTGGAAGTATTCCCTCCTGTACTTTTTGGAAAACTTTAAGGAGGATGGGTATTAGATCTTCACTAAATGTTTGATAAAATTCAGTGGTGAAACCATCTGATCCAGGCATTTTGTTCTTAGGTAGTCTTTTGATTACTAGTTCAATTTTGTTGCTGGTAATTGGTCTGTTCAGATTTTCTGTTTCTTTCTAAGTCAGCCTTGGAATGTTGTATTTTTCTAGAAAGTTGTCCATTCTAGGTTATCCAGTTTGTTAGCATAGAAT